AGAGGCTAGGTGCTATAGTGGTAAGAAAAGAGGGAAGTGACTGTGGACTAGGGTTGTTAAGAACCTTGAAGGGTGTGAGATTTTACTCTACTTTCAAACTAGCAAGTTGGCCTACTACAGTTTCATGGATACCAGTAGAAAATACAAGACTCCTAGATTAGAGATGAAAGAAAATTTATCACTCACAGCAATAGCAGTGGCCAGAACATCATCATTTTTGCATTGGTTTTGGAGTGCAAATTCCAACAGGGCAATGTGAAGAGGATCAAATGTCATCTGCACATGAAGTGGATTGCATTACAGGAAAGGCACCCTGAACTTAGAGAACTTGAGCTTATAGAATCATTTATAATAGGCAATAAGTATGCCTTCCCTTTGTTCCATAGACACCATCTCTATATTGCCAAGCTTTTCCCTATATAAACATCCTAAAGAAAATAGTCCAGAAAAACGAGCGGTCATTGTCTTGCTTGTAAGACATTCAGAAACACAACTCAATTGTCAGACAAGGTTTTGTGGAGCCATGGTTTTGGTATGGAGTGCATATCACAGCACAAATGGCTCATGCAAATCCATCTCCATTACAAAGCACATGTCCTAAAGATGGGACATTTCTTAAGATGACCGAGAAAATACAAAACAGTTCAGAGCTTCAAGGGCCTTTGTCTAACCTGCTCATCTTACAGAAATGGAAATTGAGTCCTAAAGAAGTCAAGCAATCATAGCATTATTGTAGTATACAACTGGCGCATTTCTTATGTCTCACTAGACAGTTATATTCTATGCCCACTGAGCACTATCCTACTTTTCATAGTAGGATGCTGCTTGGGAACCTCATTAGAAACCAGATTACTACCTGAAGCAAGTTTACACTAATGTATTGACCTCTACAACACTCATTAAATGAACTGTAAATCCAATACACCAAAGTCATTTTCTACTGAATCAAATAAGGCTTCAGTCAAAAGAATTACCATTGTGATATACTTGATGCCCAGCATTTTCAGGGAGTCTTAGGCTGGATCATTGCAGATAAAGACAGAAAATTGTAGAGTCATAAAATAATGCTGACTAAATAAGTCACACTGCAAGCAAGCATCCTAATTCAGAACTGGGAGTTTAAAGGCAATAATCGACTCAAATTGATTAGTTGGTGGAGCCATCTAAGGATTCACAGTTCTTTGTTTACTAATCTGTCTGTACTTCACTTTCTCCCAGATTCAAAAGTGCTGTAAATAACACTCCTTACTTTGTCTAAGAATACCTTTGGTCCTTTTCAGTTTGCGTAGCAGCTGAAATGTAGGAACAAGTGAAAGGGAAATGTAACCACTATCAAAAGTACTAAAACAGAACACAAAGTATAGATAGACCTTCTTGCATCTGTGGGGAATCTAGATAAGGATAATAATCCCCAAGCAAGAAAGTTCATTGGATTTAAATAGATTTTCTAGTTGGTTTTCATTAAATCTGGCCCAGAAAGTCAAGAGCAAATGTTGAACAAATAGAAAATCTGCTTGTGAGTTTCTGATTTTGTATGCAAATCCATTTGCGCCACAGGATGAGAAAATATAACTATTTTCAAAACTAGGTGTGTACTGAAACATTAAAGCCAAATATGGAATAAAGTTAAGTGTGTCTCTCAACCCCAATCATCATCCCCCACCTTCTAGGGTTGCAATGTCCTAAGGTTGACTAAAAAGTCATTGCCACTTGTTACTGGCTTGGGAAGAAATAGTTTGTACTTGCCTTGTGAACTACCTTAGCAGAAGACTAGTTGAGATCAAGGGAGATGATGATCACATTGCACCAGACAGCCCACACCCAAAGTATCTGTATGCAGTTGTGAGCACGATATGTAACAAGTAACCTTAAAAATAGTAGTGTGTCCAGAAAGGAGCAACCGATATGATTAGAGGACTTGGAGTTTTGGCCTTTGAGGACTAGTTGAGAAACCTAAGCATGGTTAGCCAGGAGAAGACTTAGTGGGAAAACATTAGTACTGTTTTCAAATCTTCAGAAGGCTATTTTTCCTTTTTTTCAGCTTTTGAGGTATTATTGGCAAATAAAATTTGTATAAATTTAAGATGTACAACGTATTTTGACATACATATACATTATGAAATAATTACTACAATCAAACTAATTAGCATATTTATCACCTCACATAGTTACCATTTCTTGTGTGTGATGAGAACACTTAAAATCCACTCCCTTAACAAATTTCAAGTATATAATACCTTATTATCTATAGTCACTATGCTGTACATTAGGTCTCCAGAACTTCTTCTTAGAACTGTGAGTTTGTACTCTTTAACCGGTATCTCCCCTTTTCCCCAACTCCACTGGTAACTACACTTCTCTCTGTTACTATGAATTTGACTTTTTAAAAAAAGATTCCACATAATAAGTAAGATCATGTAGTGGTTGTCTTTCTGCATCTGGCTTATTTCACTCAGCATAATGTGGGAGTGTTATTATTTGTAATAAATTACTTAATCTGCTTGGTTCCAGAGAACAAAGATGGAACAATTGGCATGGTTGAGAACTAAAAAAAAAAGAAAGAAAGAAAGTAAAAGAAATAACTTTCAAATCTGTGCAGCTGTCTAAAAATGGAGTGGGAACAAAGTAGGGCAAGATGAATCTTCTCAGCAGAAGATTCTGTTTACAATGTTACCCCTCCCATAGGACTCAGTACACTCCCAGAGTCTGGGCGTCAGGACCTTGAACCAGCATGCTTCCACTAGACACCAGACCCCTCAACCATCTGGCTGTGAAGCCTCTGACTTTTTTGACCCATTAGATGAAGAGCAACCCATCTCTAAGCAGAAGAGTCAGCATCCTACAAATAAAACTTCTTTTTTTTTTTTCTTAGAAACTTCATTGTTGCGGGAAGTCAGGGACCCCGAATGGAGGGACCAGCTGGAGTCACAGCAGAGGAATTGTGAAGATTTCATGGACTTTTATCACTTTCCTAATAATACGCTTATAATTTCTTATGCCTGTCTTACTTTAATCTCTTAATCCTGTTATCTTTGTAAGCTGAGGATGTACGTCACCTAAGGACTACTGTGATGATTGTGTTAACTGTACAAATTGATTATAAAACATGTGTGTTTGAAAAATATGAAATCAGTGCATCTTGAAAAAGAACAGAATAACAGCAATTTTAGGGAACAAGGGAAGACAACCATAAGGTCTGACTGCCTGCGGGGTTGGGCAAAAAGAGCCATATTTTTCTTCTTGCAGAGAGCCTATAAACGGACGTGCAAGTAGGAGGGATTTTGCTAAATTCTTTTCCTAGCAAGGAATATTAATATTAAGACCCTAGGAAAATAATTGCATTCCTCAGGGGAGGTCTATAAACAGCTGCTCTGGGAGTGTCTGTCCTATGTGGTTGAGATAAGGACTGAAATACGCCCTGGTCTCCTGCAGTACCCTCAGGCTTATTAGGGTGGGGAGAAAACCCCACCCTGGTAAATTTTAGGTCAGACTGGTTCTCTGCTCTCGAACCCTGTTTTCTGTCATTTAAGATGTTTATCAAGACAACACATGCACAGCTGAACATAGACCCTTATCAGAAGTTCTGTTTTGCCTTTTGTCCCGTTTCCTCAGAAGCCATGTGATCTTTGTTCTCCTTTTTGCCCTTTGAAGCATGTGATCTTGTGACCTACTCCCTGTTCTTGTACCCCCTCCCCTTTTGAAACCCTTAACAAAACTTGCTGGTTTTGCAGCTCAGGTGGGCATCACAGTCCTACCGATATGTGACGTCACCCCCAGTGGCCCAGCTGTAAAATTCCTCTCTTTGTGCTCTTTCTCTTTATTTCTCAAACTGGTCGACACTTATGGAAAATAGAAAGAACCTACACTGAAATACTGGGGGTGGGTTTCCCCAATACTTCATATCATAGGATCATAGGACACTGGAGGAAAGGAACTCCTCAAATCATCTAAGCCTCCAATTAAGTCCATAGTTCAGACCCCGTAAACTGAGGATGCTCAAGAGGGATGCAGAAGAAACACTTGTGGACAATTTGATGTATTACCCCATCAACTGTGATCATCTTGACTTTAATTCTGTACACTCACGAATCCCTTCAAAAATAGAATTTTAACTTTTTTTGTGCCTGTCTGACAGTGTCAGTGGTTTTACTCTTTGCTTCCTCTAGCATATTCTATCAGCTCACTGGAGAGCCAACCTAGGTTGTGACCAAAATCACAGCATCAAATTTTTATGCTCTACAAGCAAGAGTCTCTGACACATGTAGCATAAATAATGCTTCCCATAGCTCCTGTTGAGCTGGGACTCTTCTGAATTATCTCTCATGTCCTTCTTTCAGCTCTTGGTCCATGCAGTATGTTGCAAGCTTCCCCCAGCCCCATTACAAAGGGCCCCATTGCAGGTGTAGTAGCTCTAAACCTACTGTTTACACCACAGGAAACCAAAGAAGTAGATCTCTCTGTCTTGCTACATTTTCCACCCACTTAAGTATGCTGAGTCATTCCATATTGGCTCAGAACCCACTACACAGTAAAGAGGAGAAACTGGGACATGTTATGGCCTCTTCTACCTCTCTGAATTTTTCTCACAGTGCAGACCTCAGAGGGAAGAGCTTTTCCCCTTACACTTTTGTCTCTCCAAGCCTGGATTCTGATATGCTAAAAAAGAAGATTTGGGAATTTAGAAAAATCTTCTTCTAATAATGTGTAGCTTTCAAAATATTTTCCTGGTATAGAATTCTATTTTAAATGTCAAAAGCTAAAAGTTAATGTTTTCTTTTGCTGTTGTTGTTTTTTTTAGAGACAGACTTGGGCTCTGTCACCCAAGTTGGAGTGCAGTGGCACAATCTCAGCTCACTGCAACCTCCACCTCCCAGGTTCAAGAGATTCTCATGCCTCAGCCTCTTGAGTAGCTTGTATTACAGGCATGTGCCACCATACCTGGCTATTTGTTTTTCTATTTTTAGTAGAAATGGGATTTCGCTGTGTTGGCAAGGCTGGTCTCAAGCTCCTGACCTCAAGTGATCTGCCCACCTCAGCCTCCCAAAGTGTTTTCTTTCATTTCTTATTCTCCATCTGATTTCCTTAGAAGTAAATGGATGTCTTAAGCTAAGAAAAAAATGTACCCCAAAACGCAAATGGAAAATCACATTTATGTTTTTTCAAATAATTTCTTATATTACATGTATTATCATTTATTCAGTACTAGTCATGCTATAAGCATTTTTATTTTTATGTATATGAGTTTTATATATACTATAACACTGTAAAAGTCAGAATTATTTCAAAAGCACTTGAGAGAAACCCAACTCAAACTATTTACGCAAAAACAAAAGTGGGGTTAGGGACTCATAAATTGGAAAGTGCAACAGGTAACCTGCTTTAGATACAGGAGGATTCAAGAGCATACTTCTCTCCCCTCAACTCCCTTCTGTGTATTGGGTTCATTCTGTAGACAGATTCTTTCCATGTGCAAGGGAAGATAACTGCCCATACCTTCAGGTTTACATGCTTCCAGTTTAGAAAGCCAAACAGAAAAACAGCTTATATTCTCCCCAGCATCCAAAAGTCAATCCAGAGAAGGCACCTTATTGGCCATGCTTAGATCTGGTGCCAACCCCTGGACCAATCACTGTTGCCAAGGGATAGATATTATAAAAGGCCCATTCTAGATTATATGATTATCACTATAGCCAAGGTTGAGGGGCATCATAATTAACAACCCCACTAGGATCACATGGAACGAGGGAAGGGACAGTCCCTCAAAGGACACAGAGGGCTGGACATACCAAAACATCAGATTTCAACTTTACAAACATCACCTCAGTCCTTAAAATTCTTTAACTTATTCTCATTTAATTCAAGTAAGCTAAATAATTTTCCCAAAATCACATAGCTGTATAAAAGAACAGGAATCTAAAGCCAGTCTTGACTGATTCACAATGCCCTTGTTCTTTCCACTATATCTTACTTTTTTAATGCCATCCCATCCTTGAGTGGTATCCAGTGCCTTCTGCTTCCATTCTTTAACCCCAGTCAAAACATGCTCTGAAATGAGTTGACAAACTCATTCATACTCAGCTGTCTGACACTGAATGACTGAGATTCAGGTATTCCTCCGAGGGAAAATTATAATTTAGCATGTATCAACTTTAGGGAGAAGAATGACTTGACAATTAAGGAGATTAATTTAAGAGTCAGACAGATATGAATTACCTTACCTCCATCACTTGCTAGGTGTGTGATCTTGGGAAAGTTATCACTTTGAGATTCAGGCTACTCATCTATAAAATGGAGATAATAATTCATAGGAAAACAGAGATGTTGTGAAGATTAACTGAGTTTGTTCTGTTAAAATGTCCAGCCCAGAACCTTTCATACAGCTGGTGTTAAATATTCATTTTTCTGCTATTCAAAAAAAATCCAAGTTTTGTTATTAACCTATAGATGAGGGAAGTTCAAGGAGGGCCAAGGGCCCTTCTTCTTCCTCTGAAATCATATCATATAAATGCCTTATATGTGTATAGCTTTAGCACCTTAATTTTTTTCAAGTATCTTAGCTCTCTTGATCATTTTAACAATTCATCAGGCAGGCGAGGCAGGTTTTGTTAAGCCCTATTTCACTGATTAGAAAACACAGGTTCTAGGAAACTTGAGTCACGTTGCTAAATATTACTCAGTTAATATCTAACATAACTGGAGCCAGAACTGAGAGATTTTGTCTTCTAATCCAGAACTATCTTCTGGTGGATAAGATCATGTCTCTTAGTAGTCATGGTGAGAGACAGAGCCATTTCTTTTCTATTTCCCCACATGGAATTTTTTTCTCCTCCTCCCGCTTTACTCTCCACTAGGTTGCCAATGGCTCACCCAGATTACAGCCAAGAGAAGAAGAACAGGGAATGAACAAGATAAGTCTTACTAGACTGGTGTATTAGGGTTCTCCGGAGAAACAAAACCAGTAGGATATATATTTTTTCTATTATGTACATATATTACATATATATTATAATATGTACATATAATATTATATATCCAATATACTTGGTATAAGGAATTGACTCACCTAATCATGGAGGATGACAAGTCTCAAGATCTGCAGAAGACCCAGGAGAGTGGATGATGTATTTCCAGTCTGAAGGCCAGTAGGCCCAAGACAAGGAAAAGCTGATGTTTCAGTTCAAGTCTGAAGATAGGAAAAAATTAATGTCCCCATTTAAAGGCAATCAGGCAGGACGAATTCCCTCTAACTCACAGGAGGGTTAGTATTTTTATTTTATTCAGGTGTTCAACTGATTGGATGGGACTCACCCACATTAGGGAAGGCCATCTGTTTTATTCCATCTAGGGATTCCAATATTAATCTCATCCAAAACACTCTCACAGACACACCTAGAATAATGTATGCCCAAATGTATGGGCCCAGTCAAATTGACACATAAAATTAACCATCACAACTGGTAAAACATGATAGCTGATCTTGGTGCATTATGGATGTGATGAATTCTTCATCTCATGGGGAAATACACAGGTTCCTCAGAGATAACTGCTGAGGCCTTTCAACTTGTTTTTGCATGATGCATTTTCTCTGGCTGTCAACTTACAGTTTCTACCCTCAGTTCCTGGGCATTGGACTAGTCCAGCCCACAGACTCTACACTGGGACCTACCATGAATCCAGTAAGTTCAATTATGCTTGGGCAAAATTCAAAATGGCGCCAAGCAGTCACCTTCACACGTGTTTCAAATTTGGTCACAGACAATACACATTCTTGCCCTCTTGTCAGTGAGAAGGAATTTACTCCATATGTAGCTTTTCCTCTCTCTAATCTTCCACTCTAGATCAACACAACCAGTTTCTCTTACCAGAATGTATGCATCCCCCACAAACTCCAGGTTCACATGCCAAGCTCTCTTAGCGGTTTTATTAAAGCACCCTTTCATACTTGGCTTAAGGTGAATGATAGCACCTTCTCTCTTTCTCCATTTTAGTAGTATAAGAAGTTGCATAGAACACCAATTTTTCCTACAAAAAAATTGCTCTCTCGGGCTCCTTCAGTCTCAATACATTAATATCTTCCAGGTGTGTGTTTGGATATGCATCACAAAATCAGTTTCCTACCACTCTCTTTGGTTAAGATGACAAATTTTATGTTATGTATTTTTTATGACAATCAAAAAAAAAATTAAACACACAGAACATAGAAACCCTGGGAGCCACTGCCATCCCAATGAATTTAAATTTAGTCTGGGGCTATTTGTTCTGGTTTTGTCACAGGTTCCATGAAGAAATTTTTTTACATATAAAAGTATAATAAAAAAACTCACTTCAGTGAAACAAAACAAAAGGGCATCTCCTTTCATTTCATAGTTGGTAACAGTGCTTTTTGTTGTTGTTGAAGTGATATATTTCCCAAAGCAGGGTGATTCTGTCTTAAATGTCACCCCATTTGGAACTCACTTCCTCTGCAATCCTTTGCTTCTAGCGCTTCTCAGCTGAGTGCAGTGCCCTCAGGTCTAGTGAGTGTCTGCTCCATTGATTTTTCCCCTACCAGAAGGTCCACCTGAGGGATGGGCATGTGACTGATTTATTGCTGTATTACCAGTATCCAGCACAGCCTTGCTCACAGGGCAAGGAGCTCAGGCAATGTTTGTTAACTGATCATTATAGGAAGAGAAAGCTGTGGGTTTAATTTACTCAATGACAATTAGGGGATGGTTCCCTGTCCTCCAGGAACTCAGTGTCTACTTGGGAATGTTTTCTGTCCCTCATTATAAGATCCTGGAGATCAGGGCCTGTTTTAGTCATCCCTGTATCCTCATCATCTAGCATAATTCTTGGCACACAGAGTTCTCAAACTGGCCCACCTAACTACTCCTAATGGCAGAGGAGAGTAGATACGTATCCGTAAAGGGATATGGGAGACCTCATTTGAAGTGCCCTTTGCAAGCAGAAACTTTTTTTTCTAAGCGTTTTGTGTGATTATATTATTAAATTTTACAGCAACATTATTAGATAGGTGCAATTATTATTCCCATTTCATAGGCAGAAAAACTGAGATACAGATGTTAAAGGACTTGCTCATTCTCCCACAGCTAGATATGCTGCAAACCTAGAATTCAAACTCAAATCGAAATCCAGACTACAAAAATAAATCCCCAAAAGCAATACTGATTTCAAAATTCTGGTATGTAGTAGGTGCTCAATAAATGTTTGTTGAATTAATGAATGGTTCTGAAAATTTTTTTTTCATTTTTTTATTATATTTTTAAGTTCTAGGGTACATGTGCACAACATGCAGGTTTGTTACATATGTATACACGTGACATGTTGGTGTGCTGCACCCATTAACTCGTCATTTACATTAGGTATATCTCCTAATGCTATACCTCCCCCCTCCCCCCACCTCACAACAGGCCCCAGTGTGTGATATTCCCCACCCTGTGTCCAAGTGTTCTCATTGTTCAATTCCCACCTATGAGTGAGAACATGCAGTGTTTGGTTTCCTGTCCTTGCAATACTTTGCTCAGAATGATGGTTTCCAGCTTCATCCATGTCCCTACAAAGGACATGAACCCATCCTTTTTTATGGCTGCATAGTATTCCACAGTGTATATGTGCCACATTTTCTTAATCCAGTCTGTCATTGATGGACATTTGGGTTGGTTCCAAATCTTTGCTATTGTGAATAGTGCTGCAATAAACATATGTGTGCATGTGTCTTTATAGCAGCAAGATTTATAATCCTTTGGGTATATACCTAGTAATAGCATGGCTGGGTCAAGTGGTATTTCTAGTTCTAGATCCTTGAGGAATCGCCACACTGCCTTCCACAATGGTTGAACTAGTTTACAGTCCCCAAAACAGTGCAAAAGTGTTCCTATTTCTCCACATCCTCTCAAGCACCTGTTGTTTCCTGACTTTTTAATGATCAACTTCAAAGAAGTTTCTGCTTGAAAACTGACACGAGCTGAAACTTACTTGAAGTCTTGTGTTCTATCTTAAAACTTCATGCGAGTATTATATTCCACAACACAGCCATCTTTGCTATTAAAAAATGTTTTAGATCACTTAACACTGAATAAAAATCTGCTCCAGAAAGATGCCCATGCAACACTAACCCAAACACTCAGCTAAGCAGGTAGGATGTTCTAGATTCAACTTATCAAGTCCACTGTAAGGCTTGATAACAGTTTTCATGAAGGACCTGGCTTTTCCTGAGGCTAACTGGCACAATTAGGAATGAAGATAAATTGCGCTTCGATTTTTGTCTAAAATGACTTAAAATCATTCTGCCCCAGATGTGAAAAGTGATAAGCTAGGCTGCACACCAGAAACAGGGAAACAGAATTTTTCATAGGGGAGGAGTGTAAGGAACTGGGAATGATGTGGTAAGGGCTGGCCTGCCTGGGAACATTTTGTTTTGCATCAGATTTGGGTAAGTCCAGTTTTTGATCACTGGCTTAATCCAAAAGTATCTGCTCTGACAATGGTGGGCCTGCGTGTGTTCGCAGTAACACATTTGGACTAAGGGTGAGGGGACTTGTAAAATGAGAAAATAATTTAAACTGACCTAAAAACAAAGAGGTATGTATGGGATGGAATTATTTGAAATCATGGTTCCACAGGTGAGCAGGGAGAACAGTTGGGGTGAATTGAAAGATAAACTAAAGAAAAAATTAAATTGTTTTCAGGAAGCTAATGCCAACTATTCCAAGGCCATTTTTTATTGTTCTCTATTTTACAGCCCTAGACTGAGCCTTTATTCTGGTCCTTCCTGAGTTCCCAATCCAGGTTATAGTTGGAATCCTAACCCCAAGAGCCATGTCACAAAACGAGTAAATAGTTGGCCACAAATGGGACAGCTAAAATAACATGAAAGATGCATAATAGACCAGAGCTTCTCAACTTTAATATGCCTATGAGTCACTGGAATCTTTTTAAAATGCATGTTCTCATTAAGTAGGTCTGGAGTGGGACCTGAGATTGTGCATCTAACAGGTGATCACCATGCCTGATAATCTAGACCTCTTTCCACTAATGCCCACCTCCTGGGTTCACTCTTTCAACTTTGATAGTCCCTATGCAGACTCCTAAGATTTCAGAGGAAAGGTGCAATTTGAATTTAAGGCAATCAATATTTGCTTCATTTTATCATTATATTAAGTGCTCTTTGCTGAGCACTGTGGACCACAAATAATTCTGTCTCCCTAGGCCAAACAGAAATACATCCAGACCCAAAGAAATCAGGCTATAGGCAATAAAGAAAAGAATAACTGGGGTAGAAAAGTTATCTCCAAGTTACTGATGCTCCATGACCCAACATACTAATATAGATCTAACACAATTATGGAGGACAAAAAGAACAAAATTTATCTTACTATTTTGCAAGTACTCCATTAGGAATGTTGACAGAAGTAGCTCAGTTATTACAACTAAGGGAGGTAAGTGGAAAGACTCTAAGCATGCTTCCTGGCACATAGTAACTGCTCAATAAATAATAACCTCTCAGTAAATCTTAAAACTGCCAATGGCAGTTTTCAGAAAGGCAAAGACTGGTTTTGAAAAAAGCAGAGATACAGAATCAGAACCAGAAACGCTTAGAAATACAGAGAAAGACTGTAACAGAGTTCTCCAGAGAAACAGAACCACACACACACACATACACACACACACACATTATATATATACATATGTGTGTGTGTATGTGTGTGTATATATGTATATATGTGTATATATACACACACACATACACACACACAGAGGCACACACATATACATAGGAGAGAAAGAGAGATTTTAAGGAATTGGATCACATGATTGTGGGGGCTGGCAAATCCAAAATCTGTAGGGCAGGCTGAGAGGCTGGAAAGTCAGGCAGAAGTTGCTGCTTTAGTCTTGAGGCGGAATTTCTTCAGGAAACTTCAGTTTTTGATCTTAGAGCCTTCAACTGATTAGATGAATTCCACTCACATTATTGAGCATAGTTTTCTTTTACTTAAAGTTAGCTGATTGTAAATAATAACCACATCAACTAAGTACTTTCACAGTAGCACTTAGATTAGTGGTCAATTAAATAACTGAATACTACAGTCTAGGCAAATTGACACATAAAGTTATCCATTAGAGAGATCATTCTAGATTATTGGTTCTCAATATTGACTTCACATTAGAATCACTTGAGGG